ATGCTGCGGGGGAGGCTTGGGGGGGCCGTGCGCGGGGTAATGGCTGCGGGGCGGGGCCGTGAGGGCGCCTGGAGCCGTCAGGCCGCGATGGGGGGCGCAGGGGGGTTATGAGGGTCCGGGGGCGGCGCCCCAGGGAGAAGGCTGGCAGGCTTACAGGCACAGAAGACGGGTCTTGAGGGGGCTCGGGTGGGGTCCCAAGGCTGCAGTGAAGGGCCTGCGCCGCAGCGGATGGAACTGGGCATGGCGTGGGCCGGCGGAGCCGCGCGCGGGCTTCGGCCCCCGAGAGCGCAGCGCGGACCCTTGGCACACCGCGCCCCTTTCCTTCACTCACCCTGTGAGAGGAGGAATCTGCATTTGATAGTGGGGAGGCAGGCCCGGGGAAGCGAAGTCATGCCCCTGTCCCCCGAGTCGAGACCGCCTCTGGACCACCCCTGCCCAGCGACGTCGCCCCCGGTTTCCAGGGCACTGACAGGGCCCGGCGGGGAAGTAGGTGGGGACAGGGCCGCTGGGGGCGCGGNGCTCACCCAGGCAGCTCCTCCGTGCCTAGGGCCACAACGGCTCCCCACACTCAGGATGGCTGGTGTTGGTACCCAGGTCAAGCTGACATGTTCAGCTCTCACCCTGCACTTTCCAGCCACTGAACCTGCCACCCATGCTCCTCACTCCACCCCCCAGCCCCCCTCACACACACTCCCCACCACCCTGGCTCCTCTCTGCTTGTCTCCTTCTCCTTTCTTGTCCCTTGGACTCCACCCTTGTGCCAGGCACATTGGGTGGTTTTGGTCAAGGGAAACATTTAATCGATTTTTGAGCAACCTCTTAGGCTCTGTGAGGTCTTGAGCTTCTTCAGGAGGAAGGCTAGAACTGGGCCAGGGGGAGGGCCCTGGGCTCGGGGAGCCCCGTGGGCTGTGGGGTTCGGTAGAGGGTGGGAGAGAGACAGAGTCCACACTAGCCATGACCTGGAGCGAAAGTCTCGGATTTGCGGGAGGAGGAAAGATCTGGGCTGGTCCTCATGTGCACTGTGGGGACCCCACGCCTGGCACAGCTCATGGCCTGGGTGAGGGCTGCGGGGCTGACGTCCACGCCTCTCCCCAGGTTCTACTGGGACTTCACCATGCTGCTTTTCATGGTGGGAAACCTCATAATCATCCCGGTGGGCATCACCTTCTTCAAGGACGAGACCACGGCCCCGTGGATCGTGTTCAACGTGGTCTCGGACACGTTCTTCCTCATGGACCTGGTGCTGAACTTCCGCACGGGCATCGTGATCGAGGACAACACGGAGATCATCCTGGACCCTGAGAAGATCAAGAAGAAGTACCTGCGCACGTGGTTCGTGGTGGACTTTGTGTCCTCCATCCCCGTGGACTATATCTTCCTCATCGTGGAGAAAGGCATTGACTCTGAGGTCTACAAGACGGCGCGCGCCCTGCGCATTGTGCGCTTCACCAAGATCCTCAGCCTGCTGCGGCTGCTGCGCCTGTCGCGCCTCATCCGCTACATCCACCAGTGGGAGGAGGTGAGGGCCCGCGGGGCGGCAGGGGCGGGCGGGCTACGGAGGGCCACGCTGCCACCAGTGGGCGGAGGTGAGGGCCC